TGCTTCTAAGGCACAACAGATAGTCAGCCACAAAGCAGCATTATCCAGATAAGATTAATTAATTTAATTAAAAAGTAACATATACAAAATGTACAAAATAAATATTATATGTATATGATTTCAATTTGAACATTGGTCATAATTAAACTATTTTCGAGGTCTCGCAAATTTTTTCCATAACAATACTTAGTTACGATTCACAGCATAACCTATTTTAGGAAAAGAGCTTATCACAAAAACCTTTTCAGATACCCTTATTCAGGACTTCAAGAGAACTATTGCAGAAATCCAGACGGGTAAGTCATCAATATCTGGTAGCGTTCCATTGTCATCAAGTCCAGCACAAGACTAAGATAGGGGCAAACACATTTATAAAGTGAAATCACATTTATGAAGTGAAATCTTCAACAAAAAGCTGCAATGAAGAGGGAATTAAAAATGTAAACGATCTGTGAAATTTGTTTTCAGAAATTCTCAATTAACATATGTTTTCAGTGAGACAGGCCCCTGGTGTTATAATGCTGAAGGAACTGAACCTCGATTTGAAATCTGTGATATACCTAAATGTGGTTAGTAGTTCTATCGTTTTTGATGTTCAAACTAACTAACTGTCACTCGAATGAGTTTAAGTCTCTTTTGAGAGTATTAACTAAACGGGTTAGTTAATCATTCACTTAGTTTATATTGACAAGATAGAGTAAGAAATAACAGGAAACCTTCTTTGATTAGTGGGGTCAGCACTTTAATTGAATAATTAATTAATTAATAAAGAGGAATTTTCATGTTCAGGCTCGTTTTTAATGTTCCCGTTAAGGAAAGGGCTTTAATTAGGATAGGGAAATGTTCTACCTATCGTATTCATAATATTCAATTATTTCTTACTTGTAGTGAGTTTATAATTATTCCTAAGCTGAATAAAAACGGTTTTTGTTGTATAGCATTATAGTCACTCCGCAGTTTATTAACTGTGTCTCAAATAAGCATTGTTATGATAATATGGTCCGCTCGCCATACACAGCTTACAAACCGCAATGATAAACTTATCAGGACCAAAACTGGAGCAGATCAGCATCACAACCAGTCAGACTGACGACGGGACTACAACATCTCACCTTCTAGACGGGGACTACGCCACTTTCCTCTCAGTTTCACCGGCCCACCAGGGCTCCAACAACCCAGCCGCCTGGATAAAGCTTACATTTGATGACAGCTACGCGGTAAAGTTGGTAGTTGTGGTGAACAAAGTGGCTCGTGGTGATGATTTGTGTGACGAGGATTGTGAGAAGAGACTGGAGAAGACGCTGGTGGAGGTGTATCAGTCTGGTGCTCTAGTGAGGGCATGTGGGCTCATCGTCGGTTAGTAGTTACTTTTTTTAATTATTCGACACTATTACATAGTCATCCTCAATTAGCTGTTTTTAAAAAACAATTCCACGATATTAAATACTGTAGATTAAAAAATTGTGTAAGAACGGTTAAGTTGGATCCTTATGTATAGCAAGAAAAAGGGTTCATGGCATTCCATAAAGGTCCACATATACTTCATAAATGTAACATTCACACTGATAAGCTGAATTGAACTTTGGCAGGAATTTCCCGGAACAAAAGAGAATACAGTGTAGATTGCAGGGAGGCGGAAGGAGATATGATCAAGTTTACTGATACAGATGGATCTCAGATGAACATAGCAGAGATCAAAGTGTTCGGCAGTGCCCTTAGAGGTAAACTGATTGAAGTAAATTGAAAATTAAATGAAAATTCAGATGTAGAATAAACCTGACACCTGTTAATTATATATATCCAATAGTATCCTTGTTCTCAAGCAAAAATGATGATTCAAATTCATGAAAACCTGAACATCTATCCGTTTTTTGTCAGAAAAGTGTCTCAACTTGCCCCTGGATTGGTCAGAGGAGCTAGTGCCGAGTGCGGAGTTCCCACTACTATCAGGGAGTCTACTGTCCTTTGAGTGTGTAACAGGGTACACATTGTCCGGAGACAGTGCTAGTCACGTGTCTGAAGGGGGAACAGTTCCAGTTCAATAACCCGCCCAACTGTGACAAAGGTGCGGCTTTTCTCTTTTCTCTTACGTTTGCTTCATCATTTCCATCAACTTACCGTCATACCGTTGAACACATTTTAAGAATAATGTTTGGCTGTTCGGTCTTCTTTCCAACACTAGAGCAGCCTTGATTAGGCTTAGTACGGGGAAATAATCTAACAATTTGTACGTATCGGCTTTACCAACTTCAACATTCTAACTAAAAACCCCTTATAGTATATACTACACCTTTAATGTATACATTAAACAAATACAAATTCTCTACACCCAGACGAGTGTGAAGGGCTCCCTGAAGGCAGGAACCTACACACCAGTACCTCACTACCAGTGGAGTACGGGACCACTATATCAGTCACGTGTGAGGAGGGGTACCGGTTGAGTGGAGATAGTGTGGTCACGTGTACTAAGGGGAGGGAGTTCAGAGTAGCTCAGCAGTTGCCTCAGTGTAAAATACGTAAGAGGCTTTGATTGAGGAGCACTACCCAGAGGCATTACTCGGCGCTAACGCCTTAAAATCTTTAATTACAATCAAATATAAATATATGCACACGCCACACAATGTATAAAATATGAATAATGTATAAAATATGATTACGCTATTAGCAAATTTAAATAGTACTATTAAGAATTTTTAAATAACTCTTATCTCTTGACATAAATTTAGAACAGCGACACAGGGTCTGAAGAATGCGCGGTGATATTTTTATCTTGCAAATGACAGTGAAATTGCGCGGTAGCGATAGCATTGTAAAAATTCTCGAAGATAGTCATATTTCGTTAGGTAAAAGTTTCGTTGCTCGTCGTTATCAACGTATATATGTATGCTGTACCAAATTATTTAAATTTCTAAAAGTACGAAATTTGAGTTGTTCCAGTCCTTGTCATCCGGGTTAAGTGCTTGTGCAGTAAGCACTTAACCCGTAAGTCTTATAATATTTGGTGGTGCAGTGTTAGAATAAAATTTGTGCATTAAGGGGGCATACACCAAAACAGTGGTTTGTGCCGTCCAACACAAATGACCTCATAGGCAGTTCAGTGACCCTCTAGCGCACTGTTTCCACACCAACAAAATTATTTTGAGAATACCTATTTTTGTAATCGAGCATTTCCTGGTAAAGAGTGCAATTTTCGGAAAGAATAATTTTTTGGTTGAGACGCTATAATTTATCTAATTATTGAGATAGCAAGCTAAAATTTTTCAAAAAATATACATTTTAAGCATTTTTAAGCATTTTTAAGCATTTTAAGCATATATTCATTTTAAGTATGATATACATTTAGCTATCACGTTCGGTAAAGCTAATACTTCTAGTCTATTTAAAATGTCCTTTGTGTGTGAAGGACGAGGGTGTACTGTTCAGATCTTAGTCATAAAAATAACGGTGGTATTGGTTGTCTGCAGCGCGAATGCCCTTTTTCTGGGCCGAGAAGATTCTTTTAACGGAGTTTAGTGATCTTGTTCTCCAAACTGTGCAGCAGTAGTACAAGTGAGACTGAACAAAGCTGTTGTATATCAATTTAAGTGCTTTGTTAGGTAGGTAGGTACTGAGCCTTTGAGTTTGTAGAGAATGCCTGCATTTCTAGATACTTTAGTGGCTAAATGTCTAATGTGGTGGGCCCAATTTGATTGAAAAGAGAGAGAGAGAGAGATCACGCTCACTAGTTTCTTCCAACCTTTTTCTTTCTCATTACCAAAATTTAGTATTGAAACTCCCAACACCGCTGACTGACTCACACCGAAATGCCAATATTCTTGGTGTGACGTCACGACACGTGGCGTGACGTCACATGATACCTAACGTAACGCAGGTCAGTGTGATACGATCCCGGCACCAGATACCGGTACCCTGTCCACGGCCACCTCACTACCAGTACACTACAACACCGTGGTAACAGTGTTCTGTAATCCTGGTCAGACACTAGAGGGAGACAGCACTCTCACATGTCTGGAGACTATGGAGTTTGGGTACAATAGCAAACCTAACTGTGTTGCTGGTGAGTGTGTGGGTTGTGTTCCTATTAATTATAGTCACTATTAGTGATCACTATAACAGGTTACTATTACAGGTTACAATTAGGAAACAGAATAACAATTTTTCGTGTTTTAATAACTTAAATCTTACAACTCGTCTTGCTCCAGAGGTAAAAAACTTAAAAACCTATCTCCACAGACGAGTGTAGGGCCCTGCCGATAGTAAACGACCTGCAAACGGAGACAGTTTTCCCAGTAGTGTACGGCACTGAAGTGGATGTGACTTGCAGGGGGAAACTGGAGGTGCTGGGAGATTCAGTGATAACGTGTGTCAAACACATACTGTATGGGTATAAGAATAGACGACCAAAATGCGTTAATTCGGGTGAGTTGCATCAGATTGAGCGTGTTTTATACATTTTTATGACAAATTCAAGTTTTTATGACCAATTCCAGTTCAATTGCTGAAACAGCGTTGAACTTATACATTGTACATGGGTATGATCCAAAATTATCACCGCATTGCAAATGTATTTTAACGAAATTCTATTTAGTTTCCACCAAGTGATGATTCCAATGTTCACCCACAATTCCGATTGTTTAATTTGATAAACCCCTCCATCTGATCTATAAGTACGATGTGAATAATGTTATCCGGTTTGTCACCTTTCACAGAGTGTAGTTTTGTTGTTTTGTACGTGGTTTGTATCTGGAGGCATGCAATGTCATATCACATACATTGACGTAATGTCATAATGTGTGCCTCTATTCAATTATTCAGCAGTTTAACTCAGATATCTCACATAAATGATCTGTCTCGCCTCCTTTAAAAGCTTATAGTTCAATATTCATTCATCGTCTAGTTTTTAAACTAGCGTTATGCCTGAGTGATGCATGGGTCTTATGAAGCTACATAACTACTGTCATGAAATTATAGTGTTAAGGTATTATGATAATCTCACTGACCTCGCTACAAAGAATGTGAACAATGTCCACGTCAGCTCCTAAGTCGTTTAGAACATTCTGACAAGTTTCCACGCTCAGTCTGAAAGGCTGGAACTCCATGAGCCCTCGTCCCATGCCTACCCACTGAGAACCAAGTCCGCCTAGCAGCAGCCAAACCTGGTGATCAGAAATACTGTTATATTAGTCACCTGATTTATTATTGAAACCATTATTGAGGATGCATTTAGATAACTATGGGATTTAAGGTGTTCTCGAAGATGATAATGTTATGTCTTTCTTAATACAATTTCATGAACTTGAAGGGTAACCATATCCTGACAAAGTGCAATAATTTTGCATTTAAATATAATGTATATATACATTGTACATGTTATATACATTGTACATTATACACGCACCTGTCGTCTGTTGGGCGAAGGCTCCTGAGGGACAGCCCTTTTCTGAGGGACACCCTCAGAGTCAAGTAACAGGAACCCTCTGCTGGGGTACAAGTCCGGAGATATCGTACTCAACCCTCGGTACAGATCTTGTAAACCTGAATTTATATGTAATTAGTATGTAATTAGTATGTAATTAGTATGTAATTAGTATGTAATTAGTATTTAATTAGTATGTAATTATTATGTAATTAGTATGTAATTAGTATGTAATTAGTACATGTAATTAGTATGTAATTAGTATGTAATTAATATGTAATTAATATGTAATTAATATGTAATTAGTATGTAATTAGTAATTGACAGTCAGTTGCATAAGTTACAGGGAAGTGAATTATTCATTGATATTTGGTTGTCTGACGTGATTAAAATTAAGAAACTTAGTCTCAACTTTCAATACATGTATAAAATCTCAGGGAGGAACGTAACAGAAGCTGTAACATAAGGAAAAAGGTCATATTTTTCAAAAAAAGTTTTTTTGTTGATTTTGATGTTTGTAAAATGTGATGTAAAATTCGGGGTTTACTCTCGAAGAACCTACGACCCCTCATCCTGTCAAACGCAGTTAGAAAGATTCTGACAATGGCTACGTCAAAACAGATTGAGCAGAAATTGAGGCAGTCACTGGACCCTGACAATGTGCTTATAAGAAGAACAGGTCATGTGCAGATATTGTATGGTGTCAACGCATGTTACTATCTGTTGTCCAGAGGAAGAAGTGGGAGCACCACCGAATGGGCATCGAAATGTTTAATGTAATGAGCTTTTGACAATATTCAACGCTCATCTATACTCGAACAGTATGTTAAAGGAGGGGGTGACATGTCCACCAATGTCCGCCTGTGTCCTGTCCTTTTTGGATTCTATGAGACAAACGGACGTGTTTTTGGGACATTAGCGGACATTGACGGACATTGGTGGGCTCGGACGGACATTAGCTGACATTAACGGACAAACATTATGAGAACTTTTTGCACATGATTTGGACACAATATTTTCGGCTAATAATGAACAGGGTAGCATGAAGCGTGGAGAAAAGAGGTTTTCAGAAAAAACTTTGAAAAATTTTGTCTTAGAAAATTTTCAGTCCGAGTCATTCTCGGTACGTACCTCCCGTATCGAGAGCTCCCGATTCCGAGCTTGTGTTGCAAAGGGGAGGCCTTCCTTCAGAGATCGCATTAACAGGGGGAAGCCTCGAGTCCAAAATAGTGTTTCGAGGGGTAGGTGCGGACTTCGAAAAACCGAACAAATATTTTCGGCTAATAATGAACAGGGAAGCATGAAATGTGGAGAAAAGTGGTTTTCAGAAAAACTTTGAAAAATTGTGACTTACACAATTTTAGACTCGAGGCCTCCCGCAGTAAATACTGAAGTTCGACAACTAAAGTTCGCCAGAAATCCTGTTTTAGCAAGATGATTTAATTTGTGAGAGTATAATATTCGCACGAGGCCTCATTAAACTCTCCAAAGATCATTGATCGTATAGTCTCGTGGTAAGATAATTATTCAAAAGCTCAGACTTTTGCAATTTTCAATTCCAAATATAGATCATTAATACTTTCAACACTACTATATAACAAATAATTTGAGTGACAGGATGGATTACTGAGGGGCACTGTGTTAAGGTGATTTAAGTGGGTCCCAATCCCCACCGACCATTCTTCTTTGTGTCATGCCTATGTTCCTGAATACTTGCTTCATCATTTCCTTTTTATGACAATCACGGTGTCTTTATTGACTAAGCGCATTACATTAACTAACGAAAATTTTCGATTTCATTCGTAATTTGACAAGAATTTATCCATTCTATGTTACAAAATATTTAGTTTTAAAGATATATTCATGAAAATCTGTTTTTGGTTCACCAAAATAGCACCTGATATTGGTATCTCTGGCTGGGTTGGCAAAAAAAAACTTCCCCAATTATTAAAACTACTTGCAATGAGTATGACCACCCCAAATAAAATACGACATATACAGCTTCATATGCCCAACAATGCTCATTAGTAATTTTGTAATTTTGTATTGACATCGGTAAAAAGGTTTACGATTCAAACAAAATTTAGAGCACCGTATCTGTTCACCTCTATTCCTACTACTGTGCCTGTTGCTACGTGGACACGGTATTTTTCTTTCTTCAGATAAAAAATCCTGTAAATTATTGTTTTCGAGTCGCAGAATTGATTTTTTTTAAATACAAATATTTGTGCCGACCATATTCTGTACTCTCCAGGCCTTTTTATGCTTTTGATCTTATTTACTTATTTACTTGCTTTTCGAATGAGCATAAAAAAGACACTGTGTTGTGAAAAAGATTCACGTACTGAAGTTCGACACACACTGAAGTTCGACTACTAAAGTTCGTCAGAAATCCTGTTTTAGCAAGATTATTTAATTTGTGAGAGTATAATATTCACACGAGACCTCAATAAACTCTTCAAAGATCATTGATCGTATAGTCCCGTGGTAAGATAATTATTCAAAAGCTCAGACTTTTGCAATTTACAATTCCTAAATATAGATCATTCAACACTTACTTTAACTAACGAAAATTTTCGATATCATTCGTAATTTGACAAGAATTTACCCATTCTATGTTACAAAATACTTAGTTTTAAAGATATATTCATGAAAATCTGTTTTTGGTTCACCAAAATAGCACCTGATATTGGTATCTCTGGCTGGGTTGGCAAAAAAAAACTTCTCCAATTATTAAAACTACTTGGAATGAGTATGACCACCCCAATAAAATACGACATATACAGCTTCATATGCCCAAAAATGCTCTTTAGTTTAAAAAGGTTTACGATTCAAACAAAATTTAGAGCACCGTATCTGTTCACCTCTATTTCTACTACTGTGCCTGATGCTACGTGGACACGGTATTTTCCTTTCTTCAGATAAACAATCCTGTAAATTATTGTTTTCGAGTCGCAGAATTGATTTTTTTAACAAATACAAATATTTGTGCCGACCATATTCTGTACTCTCCAGGCCTTTTTATGCTTTTGATCTTATTTACTTATTTACTTGCTTTTCGAATGAAGTTCGACAGACACTGAAGTTCGACAACTAAAGTTCGCCAGAAATCCTGTTTAGCAAGATGATTTAATTTGTAAGAGTATAATATTCACACGAGACCTCAATAAACTCTCCAAAGATCATTGATCGTATAGTCTCGTGGTAAGATAATTATTCAAAAGCTCAGACTTTTGCAATTTTCAATTCCTATATAATATTAATTTAGCGTTAGTTAATTGATAATTCCTATATAATATTAATTTAGCGTTAGTCAATTCCTATGTAATATTAATTCTTTAATTTAGCGTTATAAACTAATGTTTGCCCACCGTCACTTCTTCGTTAGTTTGTTTCGTGATGTTCACATCATCAGCTCCAGCCTCCAAGTATCTTTTTTTTGCCGTTCCAATTATTTTATTCAGTCATCACTCATCACCTCACTTTTCAAGTTTACTTTCATTCCCCCCACACAATTACTCTACCAGGATTCTGCTTTAAATTTTAATGCTTATTAGTCTCGTATATTATCCAACGTCAGCTTGCCGTTTTAGAAAGCTTATCAAACAGATTCAATAATTTAGAGAAGAAGAAATTTCCTATCTCTAAAATATAAATGCCCAAATTTTTTCTTCGCCCAAACAAGTTCAAATTTCTTGCTCAAGTTTCTGGTACTCAAATTATAAGATCCCTCAGTTTTGCCACACAAATTTGGCACACAAATTTTTGGAAACTAAGGTATTTCCATTTATCGACTGTAATTTCTGGCTTTATTCGACATCACTAACAAACTCTCCCTCCATAGCAGTTTGATGTCGGACTGCGGTTGTCCAACGACAGCTGACCCGGAGTTAAACAAAAAACTTCTCAAAGTTTTTCTGGAAGATGATGACGTTTATTCTGGGGAGCCGCTGAGCAACCTTCCTAACTTCACTGTCTTCAGAGAGAGTCACATGAAGGAAGCTTACGACAAAGCAAATGAACTTTCTGGACTGGGCGTCTCCGAAATGATAGATGTTCTCTCTGACCTAAAGAACCGACATCCTAGCAGTACCTATGGGGACTATCTCTCCAGAATTGCTTTGTTCCAGCATCCAGAAACAAATAACATGACTCTTCCTCCTCCTCACCAAACTATTCCGCGAGCTTTCTTCTCCAAAGACCAACTCTTAACCGGACCTGGAGAAAACATTCCACCGGATCCCCAAAAAACCCTTGTCGGAAGGGCTGTCACTTTGGACCCAGAACACAAGCTTAATTGGTGGAGAGAGGACTTAGGACTATCTGAGCACCATGCTCACTGGCATCTCTACTACGCTTGGTATAAGCCATTGAAAATTGAGCGGCAGGGGGAGCTGTTTGCCTACATGCATGAGCAGATGCTGGCCAGGTACGACTTTCAGAGACTAGGAGTGGGTCTCCCTCCTGTCCTTCCTTACGGACCAGGTATTCACTGGGATGATCCAATTCCGGAAGGTTTCAACCCAAAATTAGAGGGTTTTTCCTTTAGGGCTTCGTACATGAGCATACCTGCCAGCGTGACATTGGGTTCTCAACAAATTCTTGCCAGCGTCATGGAGACTCACAAGGAGAGAATCTCTAAAGCCATAACAATAAACTATTTCGAAGATTCGAATGGTAACAAAGTTCCGATGACAATGACCAAGCTAGGATGCACCGTGGAATCTGACGCGGGCTCGGCGAACAAGAAGCTCTACGGAAACCTTCACAACTTTGGGCACGTGGTCATCGCTCTAATCAACGATCCTGATGAGAGATACGGCATAAAATTCGGAGCAATGATGGAACAAATTACTGCCGCTAGAGATCCCGTGTTCTTCAGATGGCATAAGTTCGTTGACAGCTCTTTTATTCAAATTTCTGATTGTTTCTGAATAGACTCAGTGAAGACAGATTCTAATGGAAATAAATAGCTGAATAACGTATCGACATTTCTACGTCATACTCATATTCTGAAATAGTATCAATTCAATTATAACGATCAATATTCACATTAAAAATTTGACGACGAAATTTATTTCAAACAAAATATATAACTGTAAAATAGTTATCAACCGTAAATAGTTTTTAACGAAATCGGAGCAAATATGAACATAAAACTGACAACATTTATCAAATAGGGCTCATCTGAAAATTAACGAATAGCGTGACGTTATACAGGAGATAAAAGATTAAAAGAGATAAAAGAATTAAACGAGAATATTACTATTTACACGTCACTCAACTAAAAACTGTGTTAGATTGTTCAACTCTGTTTTATCGTTGAGTGTTGGTTTATTTTCAACTAAAAATCGGGCTTCTTTAATCTTTCTGTTGATGAGTGATGTTCCTCTATCTACGATTTGAAGTTTAAGTTTTGGGGGGCCTTTGTGCTGAGGGTGACTTTCCCTGTAGTGCTTTGCTAGTGGCTTATCTTCGTAAGATTTTGCTGTTGGATTTGCCGCACTACGGTAATGCTCGTCGAACCTGCACTTGATCGGTCTGTATGTTTCCCCACCATAGTTCTCGGTACAATTGTCTACTTCGCAAGTGATGTGGTAGACGGTATTAGTTGTGGTGCATTCTCCATCGGTTAAAGCTGCGCATGTTCTGCAGTTTGATGTTGTACAGGATTTCTTGTCAAGGGGTCTGGAGTCTGTAAGGAGATCCTTCAGTTTCCGTCCAGGTTTCTCGACAATTTTGATGGGGAGTCCACTATGTCTGACAGCATCTCTGTATTTGCGACTAGTAGCTTCGTTGACATAGGGTAGTTTGAGAATCGCTCCGTCTTGGTCTTTGTTCTGTACGTTCTGATTAATTCTCTTTCTACGTTTTCTCTTGTTCTTTATGGTTTCTAAGACTCTATCAGTGTAGCCGTTGTTGATGAGAAGTTTATCTATCATCTTTTCTGAGTACTTCTCGTTTTCTCTGTTGTTAGAGACTGCCTTTGCGGTGTTGTACACAATATACAATAGTTAAAAACTATTTACGGTTGATAACTATTTTACAGTTATATATTTTGTTTGAAATAAATTTCGTCGTCAAATTTTTAATGTGAATATTGATCGTTATAATTGAATTGATACTATTTCAGAATATGAGTATGACGTAGAAATGTCGATACGTTATTCAGCTATTTATTTCCATTAGAATCTGTCTTCACTGAGTCTATTCAGAAACAATCAGAAATTTGAATAAAAGAACTATCAAATCATGAGACTCAAAAACACTACACGAATCCACCAGATTCGTTGACAGCATATTTGAGGAATACAGAGAGTCAGATCACATTCTACCCCATACAATTCACGATCTTAAGATGGAAGGAATAGAGGTTGATACTGTCTCTACACAATGTGAGCCCGATAAAGAATTGGATTCCAAAGATCTAGTTGACCGACTCTACACCAAGATGATAGAAAAGAAAATCACTGTTTACGTGGACAAGAAGGAAAAGAACCCGCTCAAGTCGATGCTGCAGTATTACCCGTTCAACTACCACTTCACAGTTCGAAATAAGCGCGAGGAGAAAGCCTCTCTCGTCTTCAGAGTGTTTCTGGCCCCGATAAGATATGCTGAAGACTTGGACGCAAGGAGGAGAGATTTTGTAGAGATGGACAGGTTCGTGGCGGATATAGACGGTGGGTCAGAGCAAACTATCACCAGATCATCTGAAGATTCCTCAGTTACTCTCCCTCCTACCGTTACAGTCCAGGATATACAAGATGGAAAGTGTGGAGATTCTCCTTACTCTCCATGCGGATGTGGTTGGCCAAGAAACCTGCTGGTCCCCCGGGGAACTTCTCAAGGCATGTGGGCAGATCTCTACGTGTTGGTGACTGACTGGAAGAAGGATGCAGCTAACGAAGATACATATCTGAGTGCAAGTGTGGTCTTCTGTGGAAAGAGGAAATCCGAATACCCAGATAAGAAACCAATGGGGTTTCCGTTCGATAGGAAATTTTCAAAATCAAAATTCCCTGACTTGGAAAAGATGGTAAAAGATGTGCCTAATAGCGCTACAAAGCAGATAAAGATCATATTTCTGGAAAACTCCGACTAAACTTACGAAACTTCTCTACCTTTGTCATCATCTAAAGGAGCCTACATTCATTCTTCGCAAAAAAGACAATTGGTTCGATTGTTAAATTTTTATCTTCTTTTTAATCTTATTTTAACATTCTTGTTAAATTAATTGTTGGTAGCTGTGATGGGCTCCTCGTGCAGAAATGCATGAATATCTTCCTCCTCGCTGACACTTGTGTGAGCTTGGAGAAGCATCATGAGAGAGCTTTGCCAGGTAACTGGCTATCCCGTGAATGGAATGGAAGCTTGTATAGAAAGATTTTTTGAAATAACCTTATTTTTTGTTTTGATGTATGAGTTCATTTCATGAAGAATTATAAGTAACATGTTATGAACTATTTTTAATTTTTAATAAATATTGTAAAAATATCCGTTACCTCTTAAAAGCAACATCACTTTTAATTTGTAATAAATTGTTCTAATGATATCATAAATATGTGCAGATGTAATGAGCCGTTGGCGATCAAAATTAAATATTGACTTGATGCAGCTTGCAAGGCAAGCAGTAAAAGCTATCGAATAATCGATCATTATTGCAATAAAGAGGATAAAAATCCGGTACAAAAATCTAAAACTAACGAAGTCAGAATTTGGTATTCGAACTGACGCTGTGGCACTGGCCTCATGTGATTGATAATACCAACATAATATTAATGACCGTGGTAGTCAAGAATAAATTGTAAAATAACTTAAGTACCGACCTTTCTTGGGTTCCCGAGTTGCGAGATCCAGCATATTTGACACAGCGGTGGGTGTTCTGCCATTTACGAAGAAAACGTCCACTTCTCGGCTCTTCTCCTCATTTTCATTGGGCAGTAGGATCACGTGAGCGTTGGAACCCCCGAATCCAAAGGCGTTCAGAGAGACCAGCCCGTTACCTTCCAGCGGTGTGGGCTCTGTCTGGGATTAACTGGTTAAAACTTAAAACAGAAGCAGTGGCGTAACTTAAGGCCCCGCAGACCCCGCTATGCGGGGGGGCGCCGTGAGAGGGGGGCGCCAAAATTCTGCCGCCCCTCCTCATAATTTGGCGCCCCCTAGAAATATGGCGCCCCTGGTAATAAAATACTTGGTATATAAGGTCCAAAAGTTGTTAAATATCGTGCTACTGTTTTAAGATTTGTAAAATTCTAAAATTAAATATAGTGCAAAGCAAGCAGCCAGCGCGCGCTAAAAACACGTGGTAAGTGATAACGATATTGCAATTGTTATACAAACGTGGTATACAAAATTCGCGCGTGAGAATGTTTTGATTTTGTGGCAATTTTAGATATCAATGTTTACTTTTAACTTAGATCCCAATTTCATCGGCAGTCACTTATTGTAGTTTTAATGATCCTATACAAATAAAACACCAACATCTAACAGGTAGCAATAACAGATAAAAATATGGAAATAAAAAACAATTTACATTTTTCAATACTACATAATATTTACATTAGCGTACAGTTCATATTCCAAGCAACTCTCTTAGGTTTGGAAAGAGCATCAAATTTGGCCAGCTCTTTCTTGTCAAGTTGTCTTGCTGTTAAGTTCTCGATTGAGATGTCAGATGATGGTTAAAATGTAAACTGCTTAATCTATCGTTTAGTTACCCACTGTGCTTCGGAGTTTTTTTAAAAGCTTCAGTTTGCTAAAGGATTTTTCAGCACTGGCTGTACAGTTATTCAGATTGGCACCAAAATCAACTTGAAGGCTGACAAGCTACGTAGCGAAATATTCACAGACAAATAAGATTTAATTCTTCAGTCAGGTCGTGCTTGTGGAGCTGGCTCAGTTGTTTTGCAGCTTTCATCAGCGTACAATTGACTCCACATTTTGCATAGTATGTACTATGTACATGAAATCTTCCAACGGTAACAAAACCTGATTTGGGAAATTTGATGTTAATTTACAAATAAATCTGTAAACCACTTCCTTCTACAAATTTCACCACATGGCATAATACCTAACATAACTCCACAGATGCCACAATATTAAAGCTATTTACATGATTCAAAATAAACCTCAATACTTACTTCAATGTTTTCAGTCACATCCCAACTCTGCATATACAGTGAGCAACCACACTCCACACATATTGGCATTCGGCATGTAGTTCATATAAACACATGCTATATCCTGGAATTTCATTAATGTAAAGGTTTGTTCATTAATACATTTTTTTTAAACGTACGGAAACAATTCCTACAAAAATAGGTCACTCTTCGTAGTTACTAGTTGTGACACCATAGTACAACAGCCATTTCAAATCATTACTACTTCTGGCAGCAAAACAAAGTCGGCTACAACTGCAAGTTCTAACAAATAACAATAATCATTCGAACAACTACCAATAAATAGAAAAGTATACATTTAAATGTTTAACATCATCATCTGGTAACAACCATACTACCATAAAAACTCGCTAACAGCATTAGATAATGGACAATCAGTACAGTGAGTACAGCTCACACACGCACTTTTCAATTGTATAATATATAAGATCACCATTCCCCCGTATGTTGCCATGGTAACTGTCCCAACGGAGCGTCAAGGATATGATCGGTTATAAATCGGTTATTAAGTGTTTCTAAGGTGTGTCCCATACATTAGTTAACTGTTACACTCAGTGTGTAATATTTGTTTCCTCGACGATTTGCTTAATAACACGAAACCATTTGTGTAAAGATTACATTTGATCGTACCAACTATTTAAGCTCCATTTATCCGTTGAACATGGATGTTAAAACGAAGAGGTCAGTTGATATATTACATCTGTGGAGTCTGAACACCTCCCCAGTAACCATGGTGATAATTCCAGAGATATCACGTGATTTGCTAACCAAGTAATGCTATAATTGAATGCGTATAAAGTGCACTGATCTATCTAATTGCCTTGAAATGACGTGGCATACTTGTAATCTAGCGGCAGTAATGTTTTACTGATCAAGCTTGTCAGTAGAATTCTTTAACCATTCCCCGAATCCCCCGTATGTTGCCATGGTAACTGTCCCAACGGAGCGTCAAGGATATGATCGGTTAAAAATCGGTTATTAAGTGTTTCTAAGGTGTGTCCCATACATTAGTTTACTGTTACACTCAGTGTGTAATATTTGTTTCCTCGACGATTTTCTTAATAAAACGAGTAACGTTCTATTATATCCTATTAGCTACATTATGTTTCTGACAAACTTACCTTCAATGCAGAACGAAATTAACTAACAACCAACATTACATAATTTCTCAGTGTTTCTCAACACTGAAGCGCAAACAGTTTAAGAGTACTACCAAGTTTAAGAGTAATACCAATCATGATCAGTACCTATAATATTCAGTATTATTCTACCGATGTACTCATCTACAGAAGTACAGACTACACACATCTAGAAGACACCAACCAACACTCCTCATTGTCATTATCAATAACATATGAATAATATTAACCTGCGACAACGGACAAGTAAGAAACGGCATCGTTGCCTAAGCCCTAAACTTCGACTAAAATGAGTCCTACGAAATTGACTTATCTCCACTGAATCAGTTCCTCGTAATAAAGACTGAGCTAAAAGTAGAAACTGCTAAAACAACTCAGTAGTAAAATATATTGATTGTACACCGCCCAGACTCCCAATGCAGTTCTTCATATTCGACCAGCTGTGAGGATATTTATAATAACATACATTCGCATAATGTTCGCGTAAACTATGTACGGCATATTTGATATTTTACCCCATTGATGATTACAATTTACATGAACAACCGGTAACCTTAATATAATATAAATTTTTGTAACATATACAGCAGCTTAAAACAGTTCTCCTCGTTAGACTAACAATATGAAACACACAATTCACAAAATTGTTTCATTGTTTATCACAAATTAACAGTAACACCACTAATCAGAGTCTCAGACAAATGACAAATTACCTAGCGGCTGTTTTGAATGTAATGTCTAATGTCAAACGACAATGAAACGCGAACAAGATTCTGACATTGTGTAACCGACTTATCATAAGTGTCCCGTACATGATACATTTATTATTACCATAACGCGTCGTCCCTCTGCATAGTCCAATCACAACCGTTAACAGGTATCACGAGATAATATTTTATCCAACGCGAAAACAATCATGCGCAAATTACTGGCGATTTAATTACAAAATCGCGCGGCTTACATGTAAAATTATTTGCGCGCGGCTTCTCACTTTCCAAATTTAAATTTTATTGGCTCACATTTATATTCCGTTTTAAAATTTAAAAATTGTGATGGCAACGGCCCTCGGACAAATCTAGCGAGCGAAGCGAGCGCGCTCCAGAAAGGGGGCGCTTTTTGAGTTGAGCGGGGGGGCGCCAAAAAGTAACGTTACGCCACTGAACAGAAGTCGCATTTTGTTACAGTTAAGTAGTTACAATACAGTTGGAGCAGACGTTCCTACCAATCTGAACAATAATATGATCAAGTCAAAACACAAGGAAATATTGTAGAGCCATAAATAGTATAACCAGCCCGCATTAAAGACATCGCACATTGCTCCCATCCACTACGATTGGCTACACGTTCCATCACACCACCAACAGTCTGGGACCCTTGAGATTTACCAGTGAGGTACCGTGTTTTCACACAGCACCCGCTAACACAAATTACACGTCCAGCATAGCGCTATTTGCACTTGCAGCGAGTATCATCTGTCCGGTGTGCAATGGAAAGACTCCACCCGGTGGCAGGACCTTACAGATCGTCCTGAACCACGGCGCCAGGTTAGTATGAAATGAGCTGTCTACAAGCTGGTTTACAAAGGTACATAATACAATATTTCCTTGTGTTTGAAGACTATCATACTCATCATGGCAAATGCAGCAAATTATTGACTGTTGATCTTTCTAAAAAAGCAACAGTGATCGTTATGAAATTTTATAATTTATCAACGTTATATTAATTTATTGAGTGACGAGCGCGGAATCATAAGGCCTGTGTTGACTGATAAACTGTATATGATTATAATAATTTATTTTGCTACGCTTCGATGCGGAAATTATACAGTGTGGGCCGCAGTAGAGTGCTTACTTATTTCAGCAATTAGGGTAATTTTTTATCCGATATGCGGTAATGTTGAACATTAGTCAGCTGACACCAAATTAGGCAGATACTCAAATTAAAATAGGCGCTAGTAGTGGCATACCTCGTTTATAAATGATGCTTGAAGTTCATTCACAAGTCTATCATTTGCTATTTTTAGAAGCATGTTATTCCCAAATTCTAAATTGGAGCAGTAAAATCTAATCTATAATGGGTAAACAGCTGCAATTTGCACTGATTAATTGATTACATAATTGTTGTTAACAAGATTTACACTGCGGACTGAATACTTCACCTCGATCACCGTACACCAACGTATATTTGTACAGTTAAACATTGTACAAAGAGCATCCAAATATTTAATAATAAATATCTGGACGGGTCCCAAAAGTTTCCCACCCCACTTCTTTTGCACTTGCTTATTTGCATTTTATGATTTATCTTGACTCTTTAACAGTGGAAAATGAGCCAACTAATACCCTAAAGATCACGAGAAGCCGGAGAGTAATTGTTACTAAATACATTTATACATGTATACATGGTATACATTATATGTATACATTATACATGTATACATTGTGTATATTATATTTATACATTATGCATGTATACATTGTGTACATTACAGCAACCCGATTCAAATACTCACCACAATCTTAAGTCGGCCCTGGATTACAGCCTCCAACTTTGGGTTGATCTCGTTTAGATGGATGTTTGGTGGTATGACACCTTTAGTATAGGACATCAGGACTTTGCAGAGACTTGCTACACCGGAGGCGGGCTCAGCGTGCCCCAGGTTAGACTTGATGGATCCAATCAGAAGGGGCTTATCCTAAGGGATGGAGATTGGGAGATTAGATTGGGTAATTAGATTGGGAGATTGGACTGGGAGATTAGATTGGGAGATTATATCGGAAAGGGAACTAACTAGTTACACATTTGCTTTAACACATTACAGATATTTAACTAGTCACGTGATCAGTAACGTGACTGCAACCCACAGTCACGTTTCTTCTTCGTAATTGTAATGATAATTGCTGATAATTGTAGCACAGTCTATGCCACCCACCTTGTTCCGTTTACTGCAGAAGAAATTGTCCACAGCAAGGCACTCCTGGGTGTCCCCAGCCTGAGTCCCTGTCCCGTGAGCCTCTACATACACCACATCCTCTTCCGCTACACACGTCCCCTTGTACGCTTCTCTTAGTAGTGAGATCTGGGGGATGGTATTGTGAATCTTAAGGAATTTCAGAAAGAGGGGGTTTTTAGGAAATCGTGGCTATGAGGCGTTTTCTTCTAAATAAACCCACATATTGATGTGGTCAACTTTGATACCTTAGAATTCATTTTACTGCTGTCATTATGGGATTATGGGAATGTCCCCAATTCATAAAAGCAGGATTTGCCGAAATGTTTGATGCTATGACAGGAGAGATTATGTCATCTTCCTGTGCCCACTTTGTGCAAGAGTTGTGGTAGCAATTCTTTATCTCCAAAGAAAGTGAAGCGAAGACATTTTGGAAAACCACATTTTTCTTCTACACAAACTGCGGACCAACCTGACTCCTCGAATCGGGAAATATAATCCCTTCCTCCTTGAACCCATCGTTATTCGTTACACTGTTTACTATCCGGCCATAAATACGTTTTGCTTGACTTCGCCACTGAAGAATTTGTTGTGTAAATAAACCCCAATTTAAGGTACACGACATCTTGAATTTTTCAATGAAATTCCTGCCATAACTCTTACAGGATATTTAAAATGATGTCAATTGCTATGAAAAATGTTGTTCATTCGCGCTGCATACATATACCAGTATGTACCAGTATGTACCAGTATGTACCAGTATGTACCAGTATGTACCAGTATGTACCAGTATGTACCAGTATGTACCAGTATGTACCAGCAGGTACCAGAATGTACCAGTATTTACAGTACCTGAAGAAGAACGAGAGAGATACACTCTGCTCTACTGTACCCATCAGCAGACTTATCATAAACACGGCATCCCCTCCCTCCTGAGACCATGTTCATGCGGTGCAGGGCTACAGTCGCCTGGTGATGTGGGGCCGGTTAGATCACCACTATACATGTACTTGCATTATACAGTTATACTGATACAGTACATATTTCGCTTTTAGTTAAATAAAATAAAGTTTCTTTTCTGTGGTGCCCGTAAGATCCTAAAAACTAAAAGTATCTCGGTTATCTTGAAGACATAACCTGAGGATTAAGGTTGAGTTTACCTGAGGTTTGAGGTTGAGGTTACAGCCTCCGATGAGTGCTGCTGATATGTCGCCCCTTTTCATCGCCATTACAGCCGTATCTGAAGATACAATGTATATTGTATGTGTATAATGTATTTTATTGTACACAGAGTTACTGATCGTTACTTTTTACAATTTCAGTATCACACTGTATGAACTGGAAAGCCAGTACCTATATTTCAAGTGCTTTTGGAAAATGCCGTACAGAAAATGCTGTACAGTTGAAATGTCTCGCACCCTACTGTATGCTTATATGAAGAGCAATGAATAGCAAAATACCTAGAACATTCTATTTGAAATTTTAATAATTCAGTCCAGTAACATTACCCAGCGAATAGAGAGACGCAGAACAACCCGTGTCGTGTGTTTCACTTGGTCCTGTGAACTTAAAATACTCTGAAACCTGTGCAATATAAGTGGTTAGTGGTGTGTTTCACTTCAATCACTTGGTCCTGTGAACTTAAAATACTCTGAAACCTGTGCAATATAAGTGGTTAGTTAGTGTGTTTCACTTGGTCCTGTGAACTTAAAATACTCTGAAACCTGTGCAATATAAGTGGTTAGTGGTGTGTTTCACTTGGTCCTGTGAACTTAAAATACTCTGAAACCTGTGCAATATAAGTGGTTAGTGGTGTGGTTCACTTGGTCCTGTGAACTTAAAATACTCTGAAACCTGTGCAATATAAGTGGTTAGTTAGTGTTTCACTTGGTCCTGTGAACTTAAAATACTCTGAAACCTGTGCAATATAAGTGGTTAGTTAGTGTTTCACTTGGTCCTGTGAACTTAAAATACTCTGAAACCTGTGCAATATAAGTGGTTAGTTAGCTGGGTGCTACATAAACCTGGAGGAGCTCCAGTGAAGGTGCTTACTTTCTGCCAATAAATAATCAATACATTTTAATTAACTTTATATATTTTCCTGCAGTCTTGCCATATCGCGCATTCTCACAAAAAGTAATAACATTACCAATAACATTACTAATAGCATTACTAAAAGTCCTAATAATATTTTGACCTTGTTGGGGAGGGAGGTATGCATGCTGTTGAGTAGTCCAGTAGCTGTGATGGTGTTAACATTGTTTGTAAGCGCTTCTCCCGCTTCAACTATGCAATTACCTGTCCAGGATATAATATTAAACATGATCCAATCCTCAAATTGTAACTTTATCTGTTGGGATAAACATTACGTAAACTTGTTGAGGCTAAGTTGGGAACGCGGTCGTGAGAGATTTTAGATAACTAGACGAGAAAACAATTATCTTGCCAATCAAGCAAAGTCTGAGTATAAACCTATAAACCGATATAAACCCCAGCACATACCGATATAAACCCCAGTACATACCGATATAAACCTCAGTACATACCGATATAAACCCCAGTACATACCGATATAAACCCCAGTACATACCGATATAAACCCCAGCACATACCAATATAAACCCAAGTACATACCGATATAAACCCCAGTACATACCGATATAAACCCCAGCACATACCAATATAAACCCAAGTACATACTGATATAAACCACAGTACATACTGATATAAACCCCAGCACATACCGATATAAACCCCAGTACATACCGATATAAACCCCAGCACATACCAATATAAACCCAAGTACATACTGATATAAACCACAGTACATACTGATATAAACCCCAGCACATACCGATATAAACCTCAGTACATACCGATATAAACCCCAGCACATACCGATATAAACCCCAGCACATACCAATATAAACCCCAGTACATACCGATATAAACCTCAGTACATACCGATGTAAACCCCATTCTCCCATGATCAGTGTGTAACTGTCCATAATGTAAAAGTTGTTATCTCACTCTTGTTTACGCTAATATAATGCATTAGATAGGGGTGCAATAACTGGGATAACAATGAGTTATATCCCTCGCAGGCTCGGGATATAACTCGTTTTATCCAACTCGGCTCCGCCTCGGTGGATAAAACTATTTTCACCGTGGTGAAAATAATGTTATCGCATTATAAGCAGTGATGTAACTGCTTAGTACATACCTATATAAACCCCAGTACATACCAATATAAACCTCAGTACATACCGATATAAACCCCAGTACATACCGATATAAACCCCAGTACATACCGATATAAACCCCAGTACATACCGATATAAACCCCAGTACATACCGATATAAACCCCAGCACATACCAATATAAACCCAAGTACATGCTGATATAAACCCCAGTACATACCGATATAAACCCCAGCACATACCAATATAAACCCAAGTACATACTGATATAAACCACAGTACATACTGATATAAACCCCAGCACATACCGATATAAACCTCAGTACATACCGATATAAACCCCAGCACATACCAATATAAACCCAAGTACATACTGATATAAACCACAGTACATACTGATATAAACCCCAGCACATACCGATATAAACCACAGTACATACTGATATAAACCTCAGCACATACCGATATAAACTCCAGTACATACCGATATAAACCTCAGTACATACCGATGTAAACCCCATTCTCCCATGATCAGTGTGTAACTGTCCATAATGTAAAAGTTGTTATCTCACTCTTGTTTACGCTAATATAATGCATTAGATAGGGGTGCAATAACTGGGATAACAATGAGTTATATCCCTCGCAGGCTCGGGATATAACTCGTTTTATCCAACTCGGCTCCGCCTCGGTGGATAAAACTATTTTCACCGTGGTGAAAATAATGTTATCGCATTATAAGCAGTGATGTAACTGCTTAGTACATACCTATATAAACCCCAGTACATACCAATATAAACCTCAGTACATACCGATATAAACCCCAGTACATACCGATATAAACCCCAGTACATAACGATATAAACCCCAGTACATACCGATATAAACCCCAGTACATACCGATATAAACCCCAGTAGGAGTATTCTCTAAACTCTTAGGATCACACCCAGCATCCACAATGGTCTCCCAAGCCACTTCAAGCATCACCCTGACATCCGGAGCACACTGGTTAGCTTGATCTGCGGTGAAGTTGAAGAATGGGGCATCAAACCTGCTGATGTCCTTCAGTTTTCCAAATGTGTCCACTTCAAATACACCCACTGGCCAGCGTCTGTCTGTATAGGGACATGTTTTATTAAATACTGAGTTCAATTAAACTTGTTTACGGCAAAGTACACGGAAGCAACAAATCATTTCTACACATGTCACAATAAACTTAACTAAGATAAGGTTAAAGGATGAAATTAATTAAACTAATTGAAGAAACAATATTTAAGATAAGAACTACCGTCAACTTTTATCATGTCCTCCCTAGACATGAGGTTCTTCCAGAGTTCATCCAGGGACTCCGACTCCGGGAACCGTCCGGACATCCCGGAGATAACAATCTCATCCTCCGCTCCTTTGGTAACACTTCGCATGGGTAACTACGGAGGAGATTGGTGAAGGTAAATCTGGCTGAAGGTGGATCACAGTTCTGCAGTTAGTTTATGAGTATAAGGCCAGGAATACACTCGCAAATAGATACTATAAAAGCTTTTTTCAATGCTGAAAGTTGGAAATTTGCTCAAAACTGAACACACCAGCTCCATCACATTGAGAAGATGATATAAATCTTTATGATCTGGTTTATAAACCATGGTAGAGTGCGCTATTTAGAAATTACTGTCCCACTGTAAAAGCTGGTAGCTTACTCTGTGGTGTCACTTTCAGCAATCATACCAATCAGCTCTCTCCATTTCGTTCAGTCCACCAATCAGCAGCTAGTATCGGGTCACATGACCACGTGCAGCATCACGTGGGTTGCTAGGGCAACAAGTGAAGACACCTGAAATGGATACTACAGAGAATTACCGGATTAGAGGAGAAATCCGGGCGTGAACAATGATATTTTGTTTGCGGAAATTTGCTTTATTCACATCCTGTCCGGTATTACCACATTTAATTTTAAGCGTCTGTCTGGTAAGGTTCTCGGGTCAACTTAAAATTAGAGCGAAAGAAATGGTTTACATACCGCGTGAGCCAGCGTATGGGAGTATGGGGTTTGGAAATGCTCACCCAATGTACTGGTTACACACGATATCATTTATCTATAGAGCTATAGGTTATTACTGATTACTGAGGGGAGAGCGGATCTAAAATGGCCTAAATCAGGCTTACGCAATATGTGCACCATCCATTAGCTCACAGTTTAAGGTACATGGTCACTTTGTTACACAATGGAATGCTTGTAGCAATCATCAATGTTTGGTGGTGTATAATAATGTGACTTAAGGTACCAAATAGAGTATTCATCATGGGTATCCGCGTGGTTACGAGGACTTTGTCAAGTTTTGAATGGATAATTAAAATGGTAGCACTGCTATAACACTGTATAAGTTGAATCTTAAAACACTTAAATTATTACATTAGTCTGGAATCTATTTTAAAATAATTCCAAATAATATTTTAAAATAACTCGAAGTGGTAAATCAATTCATAAATACCCTAAATGTTGAACAACAAAATTAAAATATGGTAGGATTGTTTCCCAATAACAGTCGCGAAAAAAAATGTGCGGTCGGTGCCCACGCAGGTTGAAAAATTTCATAAATCAAATATATATCCTGAAAAGAAGCTGTCAGAAAATAGAGTTGCAGCTCTGCCGAACTTCTACAGTTAAAAGTTAAAAAGCATAAAAGAAAATAGACAGTGTACACATTCCCCACTATAGTTTTTGGCCTCTGCAACAAAACCCTTTTCACAAATTGTAACATTTTCAAATAATACAATAAAACCCCCCTAGTTCAATAGTTCAATACACATCACCGCTTTGGATCTTCCTATACCTATAAAGCAGACTGAACCCAATAATAACCACATTGAACGCCAACAGAGACAAAGCAATCTCAACTAATCTGGACTGCATCTCTCGTTTCATGTGGGGAGTTAGCGATTTAGCATACTCGTTCCGCCTTTTAAACTCGAACTTCATCTCGCTTTCTTCAGTTTTGTTGCATAGAGATAAGGTGTACACATCATAAATATCAGCTGATACTACAGGGAAACATTGCTTCTCTTTCGGCAGCTTATACGTGGGGAACAGTCCGGGGGGAGCGGAGATGGTGACACATTTCTCCACCTTACAGTTCCCCTTCTCACAGGATAAATTCTCCCAAGTTAAGTCAGTGGTAATGTAGTAACGCTCGGAAGCGGAATTGTCGATAAGGACATTGTGTACGGAGCGTTCGTAGACTAATGCAGTGGAACCGTGAATTTTAGTCAGGAGGGACACTGTACTGTAGTTGGTAAGATCTGGGCTGTCGAATCTCTCTTCACACAGACTGTAAGCTGACAGGTTGTGTAGCAGCCTGGGGAGGAGGTGAGATTATAGGATTCAAAATAATTGTTGAAATAATCTCTAGATAAGCTTTAACTTGAATCAATTTAACTTGAAACATCCGAGGGAAGTTTCAGCGCGGATCAGTTTTCTAGAATGCCTCGGCCGATTAAGGAGTAGTTCGCAATACAACGGCCACCATAAACTGGATAGAGTCGGTACCCACTATACCTGGTACCAGTGTACCACTCGGTACCCACTATACCTGGTACCAGTGTACCACTCGGTACCCACTATACCTGGTACCAGTGTACCGCTCGGTACCCTGCACTACCGGTACCAGTCCAGTGTACCACTGATCGGTACCCACTATACCTGGTACCAGTGTACCACTCGGTACCCACTATACCTGGTACCAGTCCAGTGTACCACTCGGTAGGCCTTAATGAGAATTGAGATAGTAAACTTCCTTTGTGGTGGGAAGGCACATGGCACTGCTACTTAACCTCATTACCTAATGCCTATGCCCTATAAGTAGTGATAAAGTAATAAGAGACAATTACGGTGGTTAAAGTTATCAGTACAACGAAAGTATAACACATCCAGTCATGCCTTAGTTCAGTGATTTCTAAATGTTTTCGAGAGGAACGTACGTGCGCGCGGACAAGTCTATTCTCAGACCACGTCATGTGACTTGTACTGTGTACAGAAGACGTTTCCTTGAATTTTGTAGTGGATTTTGTAGTGGATTTTGCGCGCCGCACGTACTTTACAATATTTATCATTGTAGAATCTACGACGGTAGAAGTCAGAAGCCTCAATAAACTGCTCGTACTTATACTTTTATAGACACTTATAAGATATGAAAATCTAAGTAACACATCCACCCCACTCAGGCCGCCCATCCCAAATAGCTTGAAATCTGTGACAAATCCTTAAAAATCCAGAATGAGAATCTTTACCCCTGGGCCCTGAAGAGGATTTGTGTTGCTGAGTATTTGAAACATGTTTTGGTGTTTAAATAGGTAGTACATATCCCAAACCATCACAAACCCCAAGTTTTAAGCTCTTGAACCACTCAAGCCACTCCCAGAGGCCATGCCAATCCCAAGATTACTATAATCCTGGTAAAATCCAGATCGAGAATCTTTACCCCTGTAGTTCTTTTGTGTTCCAGGATAGGTGGCACATGTTTTAGCGGTTAGATAGGTAGTTCCTGTCCGAAACCATCATAAAAATCAAGTTTCGACCTCTCAACCCACTCAGGCCGCTCCCAGGGGCCACGCCCATCCCAAAATTACTGAAATCCAGCTAAAATCCAGACTTTAAATCTTTACCCCTGTAGTGCTTTTATGTTCCGGGGTAGGTGGGACATGTTTTAGTTTTAAAATGGGTTCTGCCTGTCCCAAACCATCATAAAAATCAAGTTTCGACCTCTCAACCCACTCAGGGCCACTCCCAGGGGCCACGCCCATCCCAAAATGACCGAAATCCAGCTAAAATCCAGACTTTAAAATCTTTACCCCTGTAGTGCTTTTATGTTCCGGGGTAGGTGGGACATGTTTTAGTTTAAAAATGGGTTCTGCCTGTCCCAAACCATCATAAAAATCAAGTTTCGACCTCTCAACCCACTCGGGCCACTCCCAGGGGCCACGCCCATCCCAAAATGACCGAAATCCAGCTAAAATCCAGACTTTAAAATCTTTACCCCTGTAGTGCTTTTATGTTCCGGGGTAGGTGGGACATGTTTTAGTTTAAAAATGGGTTCTGCCTGTCCCAAACCATCATAAAAATCAAGTTTCGACCTCTCAACCCACTCGGGCCACTCCCAGGGGCCACGCCCATCCCAAAATTACCGAAATCCAGCTAAAATCCAGACTTTAAAATCTTTACCCCTGTAGTGCTTTTATGTTCCGGGGTAGGTGGGACATGTTTTAGTTTAAAAATGGGTTCTGCCTGTCCCAAACCATCATAAAAATCAAGTTTCGACCTCTCAACCCACTCGGGCCACTCCCAGGGGCCACGCCCATCCCAAAATGACCGAAATCCAGCTAAAATCCAGACTTTAAAATCTTTACCCCTGTAGTGCTTTTATGTTCCGGGGTAGGTGGGACATGTTTTAGTTTAAAAATGGGTTCTGCCTGTCCCAAACCATCATAAAAATCAAGTTTCGACCTCTCAACCCACTCGGGCCACTCCCAGGGGCCACGCCCATCCCAAAATGACCGAAATCCAGCTAAATCCAGACTTTAAAATCTTTACCCCTGTAGTGCTTTTATGTTCCGGGGTAGGTGGGACATGTTTTAGTTTAAAAATGGGTTCTGCCTGTCCCAAACCATCATAAAAATCAAGTTTCGACCTCTCAACCCACTCGGGCCACTCCCAGGGGCCACGCCCATCCCAAAATGACCGAAATCCAGCTAAAATCCAGACTTTAAAATCTTTACCCCTGTAGTGCTTTTATGTTCCGGGGTAGGTGGGACATGTTTTAGTTTAAAAATGGGTTCTGCCTGTCCCAAACCATCATAAAAATCAAGTTTCGACCTCTCAACCCACTCGGGCCACTCCCAGGGGCCACGCCCATCCCAAAATGACCGAAATCCAGCTAAAATCCAGACTTTAAAATCTTTACCCCTGTAGTGCTTTTATGTTCCGGGGTAGGTGGGACATGTTTTAGTTTAAAAATGGGTTCTGCCTGTCCCAAACCATCATAAAAATCAAGTTTCGACCTCTCAACCCACTCGGGCCACTCCCAGGGGCCACGCCCATCCCAAAATGACCGAAATCCAGCTAAAATCCAGACTTTAAAATCTTTACCCCTGTAGTGCTTTTATGTTCCGGGGTAGGTGGGACATGTTTTAGTTTAAAAATGGGTTCTGCCTGTCCCAAACCATCATAAAAATCAAGTTTCGACCTCTCAACCCACTCGGGCCACTCCCAGGGGCCACGCCCATCCCAAAATGACCGAAATCCAGCTAAAATCCAGACTTTAAAATCTTTACCCCTGTAGTGCTTTTATGTTCCGGGGTAGGTGGGACATGTTTTAGTTTAAAAATGGGTTCTGCCTGTCCCAAACCATCATAAAAATCAAGTTTCGACCTCTCAACCCACTCGGGCCACTCCCAGGGGCCACGCCCATCCCAAAATGACCGAAATCCAGCTAAAATCCAGACTTTAAAATCTTTACCCCTGTAGTGCTTTTATGTTCCGGGGTAGGTGGGACATGTTTTAGTTTAAAAATGGGTTCTGCCTGTCCCAAACCATCATAAAAATCAAGTTTCGACCTCTCAACCCACTCGGGCCACTCCCAGGGGCCACGCCCATCCCAAAATGACCGAAATCCAGCTAAAATCCAGACTTTAAAATCTTTACCCCTGTAGTGCTTTTATGTTCCGGGGTAGGTGGGACATGTTTTAGTTTAAAAATGGGTTCTGCCTGTCCCAAACCATCATAAAAATCAAGTTTCGACCTCTCAACCCACTCGGGCCACTCCCAGGGGCCACGCCCATCCCAAAATGACCGAAATCCAGCTAAAATCCAGACTTTAAAATCTTTACCCCTGTAGTGCTTTTATGTTCCGGGGTAGGTGGGACATGTTTTAGTTTAAAAATGGGTTCTGCCTGTCCCAAACCATCATAAAAATCAAGTTTCGACCTCTCAACCCACTCGGGCCACTCCCAGGGGCCACGCCCATCCCAAAATGACCGAAATCCAGCTAAAATCCAGACTTTAAAATCTTTACCCCTGTAGTGCTTTTATGTTCCGGGGTAGGTGGGACATGTTTTAGTTTTAAAATGGGTTCTACCTGTCCCAAACCATCATAAAAATCAAGTTTCGACCTCTCAACCCACTCAGGCCACTCCCAGGGGCCACGCCCATCCCAAAATGACCGAAATCCAGCTAAAATCCAGACTTTAAAATCTTTACCCCTGTAGTGCTTTTATGTTCCGGGGTAGGTGGGACATGTTTTAGTTTAAAAATGGGTTCTGCCTGTCCCAAACCATCATAAAAATCAAGTTTCGACCTCTCAACCCACTCGGGCCACTCCCAGGGGCCACGCCCATCCCAAAATGACCGAAATCCAGCTAAAATCCAGACTTTAAAATCTTTACCCCTGTAGTGCTTTTATGTTCCGGGGTAGGTGGGACATGTTTTAGTTTAAAAATGGGTTCAGCCTGTCCCAAACCATCATAAAAATCAAGTTTCGACCTCTCAACCCACTCGGGCCACTCCCAGGGGCCACGCCCATCCCAAAATGACCGAAATCCAGCTAAATCCAGACTTTAAAATCTTTACCCCTGTAGTGCTTTTATGTTCCGGGGTAGGTGGGACATGTTTTAGTTTAAAAATGGGTTCTACCTGTCCCAAACCATCATAAAAATCAAGTTTCGACCTCTCAACCCACTCGGGCCACTCCCAGGGGCCACGCCCATCCCAAAATGACCGAAATCCAGCTAAAATCCAGACTTTAAAATCTTTACCCCTGTAGTGCTTTTATGTTCCGGGGTAGGTGGGACATGTTTTAGTTTAAAAATGGGTTCTGCCTGTCCCAAACCATCATAAAAATCAAGTTTCGACCTCTCAACCCACTCGGGCCACTCCCAGGGGCCACGCCCATCCCAAAATGACCGAAATCCAGCTAAAATCCAGACTTTAAAATCTTTACCCCTGTAGTGCTTTTATGTTCCGGGGTAGGTGGGACATGTTTTAGTTTAAAAATGGGTTCTACCTGTCCCAAACCATCATAAAAATCAAGTTTCGACCTCTCAACCCACTCAGGGCCACTCCCAGGGGCCACGCCCATCCCAAAATGACCGAAATCCAGCTAAAATCCAGACTTTAAAATCTTTACCCCTGTAGTGCTTTTATGTTCCGGGGTAGGTGGGACATGTTTTAGTTTAAAAATGGGTTCTGCCTGTCCCAAACCATCATAAAAATCAAGTTTCGACCTCTCAACCCACTCAGGGCCACTCCCAGGGGCCACGCCCATCCCAAAATGACCGAAATCCAGCTAAAATCCAGACTTTAAAA